CTTCTCTTCCTCTTGATCTGTGTAATTGTAATGCAATGATGTAATGTCGACATCTTTGAGAAAAAACTTGGCACTTTGTATAAACGGAGAAGATCATCGGAGTTTATGAACCTTAGCCTCTTTTTCACTGTTTTTTTGCTGTCGGAATTTGTGTGATCATGTTAAGAAAACACACAGAATCTACCTGTTTCAATGGTTATATAGAATCAAACCTGTAATAAGAGAAGATATAAAACTGACTCGAAAGAGACCACAGATAAGTGGATAAGTGATGCATTTAACCAACAAAAAGAAGAAAGCAGTTTGTTTTTCTTCTACAGAGTAAAAATAAGACACTGGCTTTAAAACCAGAGATTGGCTCGAGCAATAAACCCAAACCCCCCTTAACCCGACACTATCCCACATCATTCGTAGAGAAAAAGAGGAAGACCCGCAACTTTCTTTTAACCTTTACTCAAAACAAATACGACAGAGACAGAGACACACGAGTAGTGATGATGAAAAGGCTTTGTTATTACGATGAGAGCATGAGTCTTGCGATCATTCCTTGTGCCCAGCGTGCAGTGACCCTGAGCTCTTCATCCTCTGACTGGAGACACTCATTGAGGAACTCACCACAGAAGGTGAAGTTGTTGAACAACGGCTTCGTGTTCTCTCCTACGACATCCGCCAGATCACCCATTGCTGCAACTGCGGCTTTTGTCACGCTCTCATCCCTGCACCCAAAACGTCAAAAAATATAAGCTGTGTGCAATGAAACTATTACAGAAACCAGAAGAGATATAAACTGATACAGACCTGAGGGAATCTTTGGATACGAGTTCAACAAACTGCAAGAGATGCTGAGCATACGGCATCATGAGCTCTGCTTTTCCGTCCTTGAAACCTTGTAAAATTCCAGAGTATGCCTCGAATATGCTTCTCCGGAGTTGGTTTGCATAGTCCATAAGCTCTTCGTCGAGGGTGTCCATCTGCACACACACCTGAGCAGCCCCTTGCATGATCTGAAGAGCTGGAGCTACATACCTCTCAAAATGAGCACCAATCGCCAGAGCAATGTCTCCAAAAGATGAGAATATTGGAGGTTTCACCGATCTGTGGAGTGCATCACTTTGAAGGTTCTGGATAAGGAGAGACATGATCTGATCGCAATAAGGTAGAATTTTTTCATCCAGGGCACGGCAAATGTCACCAATCACTCCTACAGTGATTGAGCAGACTTGGTATTCTTCGAAATTCTGCAGCCCCATCTGGAGATATTTGAAGAGCTCGGGCATGTATTTCTCAAACTCAGTTCCAGTCGCATAGGCAAGAGCACCGATTGCAAGCATTGCTTCTTCATGGACGCTTGAACTATGGCATCCAAATACTCTTAGGAACAGCACCATGATCTGATCTGCGTTCTGCATTATGATGGGTTTCGTCTCCTCCGTGCCACTCAGCTTCTGGATTATGACCTGGAGAACACCACACAGAGAAGCCTGGAGCTCCGCTTGCTTCTCACGGTCCTCAGTTGATACTATCGGGAGGTCTATCGTCTGACCTAATTTTCCCATGATGACAGGGAGGAGCTGCGCTATGATGCTCGAGGCCTCTGAAAGGTTTGAACACCGGACAACCTCGTTCAAGGTTTCATATGCAGCAGTCCTTAGCTTAGACTCTGCACCATCTGTGCGCTCAGAAGCTGCAAGAAGATGTTTGATGATCTCGGTAAGATAGGGAGAGAGAAGCGAGGAACTTGCTCCACAGTCTTCATATCCCTGGGCAAGGTTGTATATCGCTCCACAGACCTTCTCAGCCACATTTGGCACATCTTTAATCGATTCCAGTAATACACCCACAATTCTAGGGAGGTTTTCGGGTGATATAACAGAGAAGCCACTCTCTGGGGAGTGCAAAAACTCAAAGATACGGCTCAGAGTCCAAGCAGTTGTGTCCCTGACGTGCTTATTCTCATCCTTGGTTGCACTAAGGAGAAATTCCAATCCCGCAGCAACCATTGGGGCAAGCTTGTCAACTGTTGGGCCCTCCAAAATTGATCCAAAAGCATAAGTGGCTGCCTCCCGGTTTCGCCAATTCGGTTTCTTAATGTAGGTTTCAACAAAAGGCATCACAAGAGGGACTATACCATCTCCAACCGTTCTGGCAATAAGGCCAAGGCATGTCCCGCCGGCCATAGATATGTTCCAGACATCGTCATCATGATCCTGATCCTCTTCCTGCTTCTCCAGAGTTTCTAGCAACATGGGAACTAAATGGGGAAGCGCCTTCTCTATGAAAAATGAATGGGGAGGGGAGTTGTCACCATTTTCAGGAGTGTCAAACTCTTGACGGTCAATCTCTTCATCACAGATGGAGCTCCAGAACTCAATTGCTTGGAGGGCAACGCTCTCTTCATCTCCCTTTACAGCATTTGAAGTGAGCTGAAAGAGAGTTACCATGTATTGCTCCAGAACCTCGTAGTATGTTGATGCAATGGACACAAGGCACTCGAAAGCAGCTTGCCTGATCTCTGCCTCCTTGGAACATGCTGTCTCGCATACCATCTTCATGATGTAACTTCTCTCCATTTCATTCTCGAAATTTGTCTGAGAAAAATCCAGGGCATTCAACAGTGCCTTTGTTGCTTCAAGACGAACTTCTTCAGTATTTTCAGACTGGTTCATGCCCTGCACAACAGCTGTGAGGACAGAATTCACTTCATCTTGTACGAGATCATGATGCGATATCTCTTCACAGACATAGCCTAGAGTTTCTAAGGTTGACTGCTTCAAGTGTGGGGGATTGCTTTGATTGGTCATATTGCTAAGCAGTGATCCAATAAGTTCAGGCCACTGCTTCTGAGGAATTTCAATGGAGGCTACCTTTGCAATAACCTGAGCTGAAGTATGCCTCGCCTCTTGGACAGATGAACCAAGTGTTCTTAGTAACAGCTCCTTGATCTGGGATTTGAGAGCAACGTCAATTGCAAACCACTGTTTCACCAGATGATCTTTTGTGGCAGAATCTTTGGCATCTAGAGAATTCTTTAGCAAAATACCAGCTAGCCGACGGGNTTCTGAAGGTTTATCATTGTTGGCGAGCTCAAAAGACAGAGATAGTAGAAACTGCGGCAAGTTCTGTTCTTGGAATTGCCTGAGACTGCGCTCGGCTTCAGTACGAACACTTGCATCGGCTGACTGGGCAGCAAGTAGGATCTGAGTGATCTCCATCGCCATTCTTCCCTCTGCACAATACAGACATACACACCAGAGTATCAGCGACAAAATAGTTGAAGATAGAACAAAACCAATACAGCAAAAGCAAAAGCAAAAGTATTTTTGTATAACTATATAGAAGGCAATAATCCTATACAAACCGTTCACAGGTTCAAATCAGATAACATAAACAAGAGCAAGCTCAAAGAGTATGAACATAAACCCATACTAAAAATTTCACTAATCTGAGAAAACTATAGGAAACTCTCTACTCTGTGTAACCCAAAAAAAAAAAAAAATTGCAAACATATCCCATTATAATCCGAACCAATGTTGACCCAATACTTTCTTTGAACTTCTCATGCCCCTCCTAGTCTACTTCTACAGAACACTTCAGAGAAAAACGAAAAACAAGTGGCGGAATCACAAATCAAAACCCTAGCAGTGGTGACCCAAAACCTAATCAGGAAGCATAGATCAATTTACAAATATGTAAATCGAAAACTCAATAGACAGTTCAAGCAAGAGACTCACATGAAAATTAAGGTTTTTCGCTTGGTTAAACGCGTAAGAGCTAGGGTTTTTCGCTGCAATCAAATCCGGGGGTTTCTCTCACTGCAAACGGTATCGGCTAAAATCCTTTCCGCGACGGCGCTCGAGCAGGGGCAAAAACCCAGAAAAACCCTAGAGTATAAGAAAGAGAGGGTCGACTTGATAATGACGCAGGAGACGGATATGAGAGCGATGAATTTTCGAATATAAGGAAGAAGCGGGTGAGGAAGGGCAACGCTAAAGCCTAATGACACCTTTTTTTTTAACTTCTGATAAATAGACCATATATCTGAATCACCCCGTAAACATTGATTCTTTCCAGATTAACCCCTAAAGTTGTCAATCGTTTGATTTCTGTCAACACAACTTTATAAATTAAAATATGTGGTCCTCTTAAAATAACTAAAAGAGAAGTTTACAACTAATTTTATCATATTGCAACCTAGACAGTCAACTTTTAAAAACTAAATATGAAGAATATGAGACAATACAAATTTAGTAATTTTTTTTTTGCTAAACGAAGAAATAAATCTTTCAAAAACGAAAAAATTTGATGTTATTTTGACTTTTATTAAATCAATATAATTAGTTTTAAAGTAAAAAAGAAATTTGAACGATAATTTAAATTATAATTAATCGCATATAAATAAGATCGTGAATTATATTTAAAGTTTTTTAAAAATCTATAAGCGTATTATTAAATTTTAAAATTTGAAAATCTATAATATATAACTAAAAACTACTGTAAAAGTAAACTGGAAGAAAATGAATTAGATTATTATTTATTTGGTTAGAAGAGTTATTTACTAGTTTTGTATATAAACAAATTTAAAATAAATAAACCTAGAATAACTTATGTAACAAAAGTTAATTAGAAATATTTATATTTTGGACAAGAAGGTTATTTGAAATTAAATCCCAATATTATTGGGTTTAGCTTCAGTTCTGCAGAATACTGTATTGAGCTTTAATGGATCATGGTAGATTGGTAGAGATTGAGATGGAACTTATTGATAAATTTTTTAAACTTGGGGGCGAAAGCGCAACTATCTAAAATCATGGGTATCTAAAACGGCTTAAAATGGGCCGCAAACAATGGGCCTGACGAACCAAAAAGGACTTCACTGAATCTTTTGTACGTAAACGGCGTCGTTTTCCAGTGGAAGGTTTACAGTGTGTTAAAACCTCTCCGTTTCTCTTTCAGATTAAACCCCCAAACAAACCCAAATTGAAGAGAAAAATCGGTCGTCAATGGCGTCTGCTTTATGTAAATCTGCAAGTCGTCTTCGTCCTGTACAAATTTTTCGCCGAATCCGCGTTTCTAGCGATCTACTATCGCCGTCGTCTCCATCTCCGGCGTGTATCTCCGACGGGCTTCGTCATGGAGATTTATCTCTACTTCGATCGGTTCGG